AGTCAAAGCCTGTCCAGGAGGGTATTATGTCTATGAGTTTGTGAGTCCAACTAACTGCCATTTGGCATACTGTGCAGGTAAATATATTTATTTATATGTGCCCTTTTTTATGTAAGAGATCATTCAGACTTTTTTTTTAATATTTACAATTTCTTTCAGATGCAAGCAACATAAACACTACCTCTACTACTGTCATGCCAGAGACAACCACAGCTGAAACTACAACCATAGAAACTACAACCATGAACATTACAACTGGTAATATATTGCAGTGTATTACAATGTGAAGGATTATTGTTTTGCAAATCAGATCCATGCTATGTGTTTGTGATGCATGTCAATAATTAAAAATAATTCATAAAATTGTATAGGCTAATTTATTATCAGCTATATTAAAGTAGGCAAAAGGCCACAGGTAATCACAGCCATGATGACATACAGCCATATTGCTGTATCATATTTATTTCATTATGCAAAGAATACAAATATTACAGTAAGGTAAATGAAAATTGAAATATAAATTAAATTTAAATGTCAGGGCATGAGAAACTGATATTTATGCTGTTGCTAATTAATGTTCAATATTGTTCTTTTTTTTCTCTCTCAGACAATGCCATCAATATTACAGGGCCATTTTATCCATTTGGAACTGGAGACACAGTGAATGGACGCATTGATGATGGGAGTTCATCAGTTATATTCCTGCAGCAGCCGTTCATATTTTTTGGACAAACATACAACCAAATTTATGTAAGTCACTTTGGAATGGGATTTTCGATGCTGAGTGTCTGTAACTGGAGATAAGAAAAAAAAGTAAATGGGAAAAAGGACTGTTGAGTGCAGTTCAAATTTCTGTGACAAACAATTTTGTGTCTTTTATAAGAATTCTAATCTGCACATAATAATAAGTCCTCTTCTATTTCAGGTCAACAACAATGGACACTTGACCTTTGATGGGGCATGGCACAGCTACTCTCCATACCAGTTCCCAGCCTATGGAGGGAAAGACCTCATTGCTCCATTCTGGACAGATATTGACAATCGTTGGAATGGTGTCATCTCATATCAACAGTACACCTCTGGCAGTGTCCTTACACAGGCGACCCAAGACATAAACCAATACTTCCCTGACTTGAGTTTCTCCGCTTCATGGGTTTTTGTTGCAACGTGGGATAGAGTTGGATATTTCTACAATTCAGGAATTGTAAGTAGCCAAGTTTGCTCCATGGAAATCTTCCTCTACCTATTTAAAAATAAATAAACAAACAAATAAATAAATCAAAATCAGCACACCACATAATGTTTTCTTTATTCCTTTTGAAATATTCAGACTTTTTCTGTCTTTTTTTAAGGAAACATCTTTCCAAGTGGTTTTGATTTCAAATGGCCATCTCTCATTTGTTGTAATAAACTATGGTGCAATTGCTCCAACACAACGATATGTACAGGTATGCACAAAATGACAAATTGATATGATAGTTATTGCATTTTCAAGCATTTACTGAATAAGCAGACATCTGGATGTCTTTCTATCATTAGGCTGGTTATGACACTATCGACTCAAGTCACCATTTCTCAATTACTGGATCACTCCAGAATGACATCACCAGCCTACCACACAGCAGTAATGTCAATGTGCCAGGCAGATGGGCCTTCAGAACCGATCATGGATCACGGGGCTGTCAATTTAATGGTAATGTTGCTTCCCTAACTGCATGCCATATTTGCTATTTGCAGCCAGACTATGAATGTCCTATTCAAATTCGATTGTACCATGCTAGTAAATTATAGGTGAGGCCTTACAATAATTACACAAATTATTTTCAGTGTTTATATACGTAAACCCTAAGTCTTTTTTACAGGTTTGCCAGTGCAGCTAGGAGACTATTTCTGGAGTGATGCCGCCTGCCAGGAAAGATGCACCTGTACCAGCAGAGGCCTCCAGTGCAGCTTTGAGCCCTGCACTTATTCCCAAACTTGTCGTCCAGCTGCTTTCCAATACTCTTGTCAGAACATTCAGCGGCAAACATGCACCATCTCTGGTGATCCTCACTACTACACCTTTGACAATCAGATTTTTCACTTTCAAGGAACCTGCACATATGTTCTGTCTGAGGTTAGTAATTTTGCTATGACTTTCTATTTATTGTATAGATTCAACAAGACTGGGAATTCTTTACTGATACTGATTTTTTTGTCATTGTATAGGCTTGTGGAAATGGTTTGCCGTACTATC